CCTGAAGCAAACTCCCCTCCGGGTGCTGTGCAAAGGTTCGCAAAGTTTCACTAAGACCCCGTTGTGCGCTCAGGGATCTGGGTGTGCTGCAACAATCCGTCCCGCAAAATGCGACAAGGCCTGCACCTTTTAATGCCAGCTTTCAGCACTTTGGTTCCAAGAATCACGCTCATTGAGGCATGACTGGGGGTGCAGGGAAAACCACGTTTGGGAGAAAACCCTGTCCCTCGGGAACCTGGCCGACAAGCGAACGATTCAGCGCCAGCTCCCTCTCAAGCCGACTCCGCATTGAAGAAAAATTCCATTCTGCGTCTGCTGCTAACCTTTCTGTCAACTGCCAGACTATGAAACTGCACTGGATGTGAAAGACCCTGAAACGCTTGACATGATGTCTCATGACTCCATGGAGTGGGCTGCAAGGATGAAACCAAGACCTCCACAGGTCAAACGCGCAACTCGCCTGCAACGCCCAGGGGCCTCTGCGTCTTCAGTTGCCCCAGGTGTGCGGAACTGCTGCATATGGAGCAGCTCACAGGGTTGGCGTGAAATCTACGGCTACGGTTTCCCAGCTCATGGGAAACCTGGGCACAAAAGACAGCTAACTGGGAACTGACAGGCAACATTTTTGTAGGACACCACAGCCTCTTGGCCCATTCTTGGCCTACCTTTGGCCTACTCTTCTACAACATTCCCACAGCAAACATACGTCCCTGTCAGGAGCAGTGCTACGCCACAGGATGTTGCTGGGGCACAGCTCTGAGCACAGCAGCCCGAACACAGCAGTCTGAGCAGCGGCTCCCGAACTCCCACTGCCGGGCAGCTCCAATTGAGCAATGACTCTCAAAAACGACATCAAGTGACAATAAGCTTCAGCTAGGGTCTAGCTGCTAGACCCGACTCTACAAACATGCGAGTCACTAGCAAAGACTTCCACATTCTCAGGAGCGATTCGCCAGATGACACAGAAAACTCTTGCTGTATCTTACTTGCCAGACCACCTGCACATGATCCTGGCGCGACACGTCCGGAATTGCAGACAATCGTAGTTGTTAAACCCTGACCTCACGGACGCATTCATGCCAAACACAACTATCCCCCCCCACCACGACCACCTAGCACAACAACCAGCAGCAGCAGAGCCAGAACAGAAGGAACAGGCGTAGTACACCATTGTGTTTATATCTTCCTGCCACTCATCCTGCAAGGATTTACGCTGCGTGTGGCAGGCAGAGAGCGGGAGCGGCGCCCAAAAAGACATATATTATGGTCCCTCGAAGGGCCCCACCCTAAAAGAACAAGTCTTCCCGTGTTGGGGGCCCTTAAAGGGACCTCGTCTTCAACGTGCATGCGTGTTGCTGGGCGGGACCCCTGCAAAAGCTTAGGGCAGTTTAGGGGCATTGAACGGGTTTGGGGCTGAGAAGGGTTGGTTGGAGCCGTTGGAGCTCGTTCTTTAGGGTGCACACGAAACGGATCTGGGAGGTACACGTGGCGAGGAGCTTAACCCGAACATGCTTGTCAAGTGAGTGCCAAAGACGATGATGTTCCAAGAAAGGTTCCGCACAGCAACACAAAACCGAGATCTTGCGCCGGGAACCTTTGTCTGCGCAGGTGGGTTCTTGACATGCGAGGGCCCTTGAATCCTTTTCGCACCCCAACAAACATCGGAGAGAACAAAAAAGGCTGCCAAAAACCCGCTGCGAAGCAGACCAGCGCGCCCCAGAGCACTACCAGGCTTGACCACTTCGCTTCGGACTGCTTTAGGGTTTAGGGTTTAGGGTTTAGGGCTTAGGGTTTAGGGTTTAGGGTTTAGGGTTTAGGGTTTAGGGTTTAGGGTTTAGGGTTTAGGAGAGCTTCAATTTTCGAGAGATTGGCGGGCGAGGAGGTTGGAGAAGCCAGGACATCGCCGTGGTACAGTTTCCGATGCAAGATAGTGTGCAGCATCGCTAGTCCTACTTCTGCCCAAAGGCTTGGTAGAATGATGTAGAATTCGAATGCCCATAGAATCCCTTACGTTTCCAGAAACTGCCAGAAACCATCTTTTGGACAGAGGTCAAGCCAGGCTCAGGCCAGCCTCAGCCTTAAAATGATGGGGGCAGAAACGTGGCTCAGCTTGGTGACTGCCCCAAGATGCATTGCAGGAGCCGCGTGTGCACAGGGCCCCCCAAAATAAAAACCTTCTTGAGGTCTTAAGGACCCTCAAAAGCCCTATGAACCCTTATGAACCCTTAAAAACACCCCTTTTTGAGCCAGAGATCCCCAGACCTTGCAAGCGCTGCACCAGATCATCCCTAGGCCGTGCAGTGTATGCGGGACAGCTACTGGGGCCTGAGCTTGAAGGTTCATGGTACTTACGAACCAATTGTTACTGTACTTATAACCCTACTTATCATACCCCTAAAGGGCCTTATAGGGGTTATCATGCACCTTCAAGAATGGTTGGACCGGGGTTTACCTTAAGGTACCGACGTAATTGACGTAGTCAAAGAAATTGGGTTCAGCTTGGAGAACAGGTTGGGAGCTGCAGTCCTGCGGGACCTGCCTGCGGGCATGCTGAGCAACACATTGTGTAGTTGGCATTTTGTGGCCAATGCCGCTCAGCTCTTGAGCGAGCAAAACTTGGCGCGCACCTCCTCGGCCACCTTCTGTTGCAGCAGGGGTCGAACAGCCACGCTTTGCTGGATGTGCTCTTGCGCACGCTCCAGGCTCTCTTGCATCACATCCACGTTCTCGGGGACATTCTCACTGCGCCCTTTCAGCCACCTTGGGGAGTACAATCTCTCACGGCAGGGGGGTTGTTTTTTCTGCGGGGTCAGCGCATAGCCGGACTATTGAGTGCAGATCCGTTCTGGGATCTATGCTGAATACCAGAACTTAGTAACTGAATTTCTAGAACGAGCCAAGCCAGTGGATGGCTCAGGTGCAAACCATTGCTAACTTGCAAAATGTGAATGCCACGCGGCATGAGCTCCGCGAACATTGTCGTGAGCCTTGGATGTTCAAGAAGCCCCCCAAAAGGGCTTAAGAAAGCCGGCCCTTGGAACTGTCGACACAACTTCTTGCAGAATCCAGAATCTCTCAGAATCAATCAGACTCTGTCAGGGCTGGATCATGGCCCGCAATGACACCGTATTTTGCTTTACACAGGCTTTGTGGGGTCGATTTCCGCATAGCCAAACTCACTTGGAGCTAACCCTGAAGCTGCCTGTCCGGTAAAAAGGGCCAGTCTTTTCCGTTCAGTCTTTCGTACTGGGTAGCATGCGAACTTGAAGAGGAGCAAAGGCCAAGCAACTGCCGAATGGTCTGCCCCGTCAGACCCTCATCCACGCTTCGGTTCATCGCCCGGCCAACCTTTCATGTGCATCCATATTCGCAAATACATAGAATGGACCGGATATACGCACACATGAATGTACCTGTGCATTCGTCTTGATCTCTCTACGTCAGATATATACACACACTGGGACAGGAAGAGGCAGAGAGAGAGAGAAAGAGAGAGAGGGAGAGAGGGAGAGAGAGAGAGAGGGAGAGAGAGAGAGAGGGAGAGATAGAGAGAGAGACAGTGGGAGAGACAGAGAGAGAAAGATAGTGAGAAAAAGACGGAGAAACATATTCAGGGAGAGGAGGAGGAGGAAGAACACAAGATAGAGAGGGAGGGAGCGCGACAGATCGTGCAGGAGAGATATTTGGATATCTCTTTGGCTTCTTAAAGACCGGTCACATGTCGAGATGGAGGGTGATCGAGGCTTCCTGCTCCTCTCCTGGCATCGTCCTTCTTCTGGTCATTTACGGCGACGCAAGCACCGTGTAAAAGGTGAGTCTACAACAGCCATCGCTCAAGGGAAGGAAGTTGAAGAACCCTGGGTTCGGCTGCTGTACCAAACGTAAGCATGGTACCTAGAGGGTCCAAGTACACAAATATAGAGACAGTAGGACCCCCAAGCACGATACCCACGATGGTATTGGGTACCTGGACCCTCAGGGAGAGCCAATGCGACGACAGGATGATTACTAGACCGCGGGTACGTTGGCACCCTGCTGCCTTTGGAGTGAAGCTCTCAACGCATCTCAAACCCCCGAAAAACTGGCACCTCCATGTATTCCTTTCAGAACAGGGTCAACTTGCACAGCACTCACTCAAAGAACTCTGTACTCATATGTGTTTTGGGACCTCTACGCCTTTCTATTCGGGTTGCTTGTTTTGTTGGCTTTTGGTCCCTGAGCTTGCTGGCATTTTCTGGATTCCTCTCCGTGGCTTCACGGTGCAAAGTCTGCAGGCGAGCGACCACCTCATCAAGCCGACGCCCTTCGCAGAAGCCATCCTGGGTTTCTAGAGGATTCAATGTCAACAACACCGCCAAGTATAAAAGGAGGCCCAGAAGGACTTTCTTGTATAGGGATTATGGAAGGGCTTCCGCTGCAATGAAATTCTGTGCCTTGGCCAGAGCCCAGACTCCTTCTGAGCCTCGACCTCCGCGAGGAAGCCGGAGTCACTCAGAAGCTGCGCGTCGTGGATGCCTCAGCCAAGAAAAACCCTGCACCCAAAATAGAACGTCAGAGAGGACGCCCTAAGAACCAGATTTGGGCTGGATGATTCCAGGGTCTGAGTGTGATCCAATTTGCAGTAGAATCAGTAGAAGGAGTTCAAGCAACATGTGCTTTTGGCGGGACAGGCACGGCGTAGGGGCAAGTCCGGGCGCCGGCGGCGCACTCACACGCACGGGAATGCCGGAATGCAGAACCCTCCCGTCTTGAAGACGTCTAAGGTAGGTTTAGAGTTTTATGGTCGGTAGGGCTTGCAGTCATTCTACGACACGTCGTTGCAACATGCCGAAGGCCAAGCGACACATCCGTGAGTCACAGGGAGGCTCATACTGTCATACTGAAACTTCAACGCTGACTTTTGTGGGGGCCTATTTCTGGGACTATCTGCACCTCCTGTTGTTCCTGAGCTCGACAAACACCATGATTGTATCGAGTCTTTGGCCGAGGGGCTGAGCTTCACCAGTGAGTTGGAGTCCACCAGCTTTGAAACCAGCAAGCCTTGGCGTGCTTCAGTGGCTTATCTTGAGCTTGCTCGCTTGTAGCCTTCTTGGGGGGTTTTTCGCCATCTTTTTGTACTAAACCCAACCCCCCCTGTTTCGGGCCTTCTGGGTCTGTTTCCATCTTTATGTACTGAAAGCCCATATTTCGGGTCGATTTTTTTTTTTGGGGGGGGGGGGGGGGGGGTGGGGCTTCCATCCTTTTGTGTCTTGGTGTGGTTTTTGTGTACTGAAACCCAACCCCCACCCCCACCTTGTTTTGGGTCAATGTGGGGTGGGGGCGGGGGGGGGGGGGGTGGGTTTCCATCTTTTTGGGTCTTTCGGGGAAGTTTTTCGTTTGTTTCCATCTTTCTCCTCGTTTCGGGTCGACTTGGGGGGATTGGGTTTCCATCATTCTGTATTGGGAGTTTTTTTTTCATCGGTTTCCATCTTTATGGCCTTTTAGGGCTTTTGGGGCTGTTTGGGGCTGTTTTGGTGGTTTTAAGGCTTGTGAAGGCTTTGAAGCCTTTGCAAGGGTTTTGAGCCTTTTGGGATTTCGGGTTCTGGGGTTTTGGGGCTGAGGGTTTGAGGGAGTTTTGGGATGTTTTCGTTTTCCAGCGGCTCCTTCTGGTCATGCTCTTCACTTCGCTGGAGGCTCCGTTGTCGTTTTGCCACCCCCCCCCCTCCCACCCGTTTGCAAGCACTATGGTCGTCGTTGGTCAGCTTGCGCAGCCAAGCGCCTGGAATGGAACCCCCTGTTTCGGGTCGATTCATTTTTTTTGGGAGGGGGGGTGGGGGTCTCCATCCTTATTGTGTCCTGCTTGGGGGGGTTTTCGTCTGTTTCCATCTGCCTTGCACTGAACCCAACCCCTCTGGGTCGTGGCCACCCCTTGCAGGCCTTGCAAGGCAAGTCATGCCAGCCTTCGGAAACCCAAGAACCCAAAGATCAAAGCACTGCGGGTGAGTCACGGTCAAAATGCCTCATAAGCCCTCTGAGGCAAAAAATCCTATGACAGAATCCTGTATGCCCCTATAGTAGACTCCCTACATCATTATCCCTATACTTCCCTTGAAAGAGGTCTTGGTCTTATAGGGCTTTTAAGGGAGGGGGGTTCAAGGGGGTAGGTAACCTAAAAGGCTCCCTAACACTCCCTACTACTCCCTAAGGCTCCCTAAGCTTCCCTAGGGTTTGCTAGGTACCTTGAACCTCCCCCCCTTTAAGAACCCTATAATGGTCTTAGGGCAGCCGGGGAGCCCGCCAAGGGCAGCATCTCTGACCAGGCCTCTTGCAAGGCCTGCCGCAGTTCGCGCAGCCGCCGACCGTGCACAGCTACCAAAGCTGTAGCTTGTTCCGTGGCTGTAGGCTGCTCAGGGTTGTTGGGAACATTCGCAGGCTCATAGCTGCTAAAACAAAGAACCTTTGTGTCCACGGACCGTGCCAGAACCTTCTCAAAGCACATGGACATGGTACTGCGTAGGCCTCAGGCCGCCCAGGCCCAGCGACTTTAGGGTGCAGGCTGCGAGGGCTTAGCTCGGACTCCGAAACCATACGGAGAGGAGGGCAGAGAACCGACAGAACCCACACCATGCGGAACAGGGTGTGGGGCTGCGCCCCTGCTCTGGGGTTGCATACGGGGAGATCGGGAGACCCAGCGCACTTCGAAAGCTGGTGACAGTTTCAAGGCTTCGTGGTTTAGCTTGGGAACACATGCTGCAGATCCTGAGGCCGCTTAGCCTACACACATGAGCCAGCACCCAAAAGCAACCGATTTCGCCTGTGATAGAGAAAACCAGCCGCCTATGCCAGAAACCTGCGAGTAGCTGCGCCCCTCAGCTGCCTTTGAAAATCCTATTGTCACCCATATTGTATCATACCTATGCTACATGTCTTTACACTTCATCGTATTGTCAGACTATATGACAATGCAACATAAGATATCATCATAAGATATCGTATGGTAGTATGCGATAGCATATTATCATACACTGCATCAGAATGTAGCCCTCTTCAAAGCAGTCGCCGGCCTTGCCGGCGGAGGCGTCGGCTTCGACGAGGCGGCTGTAGGCCTCCCTGACCGGCCCGTACTCCGCGGAGCAGGACAGGTAGTCCTGCAAGTCTCGACTGGTTGCATATGGGTGGTTCCATAAATAGGGGATAGGATTAGGGGACCCTTGGGGATATAGACCCTCTGAATAACGCCCCTGTTTGAGACAGCCAGAAGAGGGTTCAGACGGGTTCCCTTTTAAGGGTCCCCCTTCTCCTACCTAGGAATAAACGAGGGGTCCCTTTTTGGATGTCCTTGCACTACGAACCGTATTCTATGGGCTCTATCTTCAGGGCCCTGATGGTTGGAAGCTCCCACATATGTTTACTGCCCCCCCCCCCACCAGGCAAGAGCAGTGCAGTAGGACAATCCCTATACTTACTGTTAGTGGGTGCAGGTTCCAGCAGAGATATACATATTGCACACAAATTTGTGTCTATGATGAAGTAGCACGGCGCAATGCTTTCACAGAAAGTTTAAATCGTCTGAAGTGATGACAGAAACGGTGAATGATCTGAAGTGGCGCACACGCATTCTACAAATGAAGATGTGTGTCGTACGAAATGGCACTATAGTATGCTGTCAGAGAATATGCCAAAATCCGCCGAGGCCTCGGGAACCCAAATCCTCCCAAAGCCCTTTTTCGGACCCTTTTTTTGGTCCTCCTATTGAACCCACCCCAAACCCGAAACTTTCCAAACCGTGAACCTTGAGCCCCAAGCCACCCTAAACCCCAAACCATAAACCATAAACCCGAACCCTAAACCCTAAACCCAACCCTGTTTGCTTGGGATCCAGCGAGATGCGCTGGGCCGATATCATATCATACCGCTACGCCTTATATGATACCATACCATGTTCGAATACATGGCTTTGTCTTCCCGTACACTGTATTATTCTTCAGTTTTTGCTATATGTCGTACATATACACACACATACACATGTCCTACGTACGTGCATGCATACTATATATGTGCTGCGCGTGCGTGTATATCTGCATGCAAATCGTGGAAGATACCCCCCCCCCCACCCCCCATGTACTCAGCCCTCAGCTAAATGGCCAGAGCACTGTGACGGAAGTATGTTGTGGGGCGTCGGAAGTCTCCGAACTTCTGTCCAAGTCTGGGCGGAGTAGAGGTTACGCTTCGCTCTTCAGAACGCGCCAGGAGGGAGGAGGATGGACGCTGACAAGGACAGCAGGTCGGCCACCGGCGACGGCGAAGAGAATGCCAATCTACATGCATAAATGTGGGCATGTGCATATGCATATTCGTATGCTCATCGCCATCACCATCATCATCATCACCATCATCCTCATCATCATCATCATCATCCTCCTCATCATCATCATCATCATCCTCGTCGTCGTCGTCATCATCATCACATATATGTACATATACATGTACATATAATATATATATATATATATAGTTGTATATTCATGTGCACATACATATGTATGTAGATGTGCATAAGTACATCTGGTCCTGCAGCAGCTGCGCGGAGGATGTGTAAACGGACGACCAGTCGCTGGCCTTCAATCGCAGGCTGGGACTGGCTTGGGCTGCAGTCTTGCATGAAGTTACTATACTCCCCTTAGAACCTTAATAAAAATTCTAATGTTAACATCCTCTTGGGTTTTATATAAACAAAAACAACAAGTAATTCCTAAGGGGGATATAGGTTAAGGGTGACTGATCTAGGTTGCTGTCAAGGAACTTGAGTTCAACTACCACGATTCGGACATACTGCCAACGCAGTTTTGTATTTGGCGTCACTGCAAGATAGGCGCAAGGCGTGATGACGTGAAACCAAGTGAACGTGGGCGTTGGCGAGCGCGTGCGCTTGCAAACGTGCACATCTTCTCAAAAAGTTTTATGCCATCTGTATATATGTATATACATAACCTTATGGTATTCTTATAGTAAAGTATCAATGCACTTGCATCATACGATATTGTGTTATATGTGGCTCCACGCTTGCCTTCTGGAGATACTTGTCGAAGGCAGCCCGCAGCGACCACCACGTAGAGTCTAGCTGCAGCAGAACTTGCCAAACATCCGAGCTTTCCTTCTCACCTGCCGGTCAGACTGTAAGCTACTGGCCGTTGTTGTGGGGGTAGCTACTGCTCTCCCAACCATGAACAGTCCACGATATGAGTGGTGGCTTCCGTTTGGGAGGAGCCCAAAAAAGGCTGCCGGCATTTGGGAATGGAATGGCCCCTCATCCTCCCATCTCACCCCGCGGCACTCGACTCACTAGGCCGCAGCCGACCTAGCAGCTGCTTCGCGTTCAGGGACTGCGCCGTCGTCGCCAAGCTGTTCTGGCGTTGTTTAGATGTGCGGCCACGGTGTGAGTAGACGCCAAGCGTATGGCTCCTTCCGGGCAACAAACTGGGGCAACGATACCCTTCCAAAAAACCGAAATGGCCTCCTTGAAATGCCCTTGACGCAGAAATCCTGCAAAGCTCCTGATGCGAGCCAAGGACTGCATCTTCGAAGCTGCCCGAGCTACATTGGCCGCAACTGCGGCGCTTGCGTCCAAGCTGTGTCCACTGGCAACCTGAGCTGTTCTTGAATTTTAGGCAACAGATGAGATCTAAACGGGCGCAATAATATGTAAATGCTTGGTGCGTGTGCCTGTTAGCGCATACATACATGTGAGCATGCATGCGTACGCACTTGCTCTTGAACACCTCGTTCCAGAGCATGCTCCAGAAATGCCATGCCACGTGAGCCAGAGCCGCATGCAGCCGCTCCACATCCTGCGGTATGGCCCAACCCCGCTCACGTGGGGGGTTTTCCACAATTCGGTCTGTTGAGGAGCAGGCCTTCTGTCGGATCCTATTGCGCCCCTTTTTCGGGCCTTTCGCAGCAGCGAGAACTCTATTTTGAAGGCGAGCGCGCCTCTAGCTTTTGCTAGACTACCTTGTGCCCAACCTTCGGACACCCGCATTACCAATTGCAAGTTCCAGCGTTTGTGGTTTTTTTGCGACATGGGGTTATGGACGACCCCTGTCTGTATGCACTGCGCGGCTACTTAAGGACCATCCTCAGAACACCAGAAATGCGCCTCAACAGCCTCCAAGTCAAGTCAAGGCGAAGCCCTCAAAGTTCCCAGGAGAGTTCTAACAAACATAATTTCGCATCGCAATATGCCATCACTCAGACTCACAGACACCTCGTATGCGCGCTCCCGTGTTTTATGTTACGTGTAAAGAGGGGCTGGGTAGCTCGGAAGTGACCTCCGCCATCTCCGCAGCGCTCGACCGGTTTCGAAGGTCCTGGCGGAAGCCTCGGCTGCAAATCAGTACCCTATAAGCCTTGTTCTAAGTATAGCTACCGCACTTAAAGGTGTATTTTCTAACCATACCGTAGACCAGTATGGAATACCGTACCAGTTCTCAATACCGAGAGGGTCCAGTTACCCAACTATGTGGCTCAAAATCTCCAAGCCATTGTTGGTACAATATTTGCGACCCAACACCTCTATATTTGGGTACTTGAACAAGTATACATGGAATCTGCCGCATATCCTGGTCCAGAGTGATGCGAACAGACATGAAAAAACGATGGCTGAGTGAGTGTTCTGGAAGCGTCCCGCGTTTTGTAATTGCCGATCTAGGGGTCGTCAGCCGTGCTGCAAGCTGGAGAAGCCACATCGGTTCAGGAAGTTCTTTCATCAGTTGGGCCCCCTCATGACTGAGGAATCAAAGTAAAGAACGCCGTGACCACGCTCAACGAGTACTTGGGGAGCTGGTCGAAACTCGTGGCCCCAAATATGCAATCGATCTTCACCGCAAGTGGCAGGGGTATGTCGTGATGGGAGATCAAGGCTTTTCGCTGGGGAATGCAGAAGTGTACATGTACGCGTGATGGAACACATTCCTTTGCCTCGAGAAACGAGCGAATGCATAGCGCGAGCTACGAAAAGGGGCGGGGCACCCTGAAGTCAGAATCTGAGCGGGTAAAACACTTTAAAAGGAAAGCCCCTACTTCATGTCCACACAAGCATGATAGAAGCGTTCATGAGCCCTATATCTTTGGTCAATCCCCTTACAGTAACAGTGGCAGATGTATCTGGGCCCTACTATCTCCTTATTAAGGAACTGCTACTTCAAGGGTGATTGGCCCAACCGATATCCCACACTACCCTAAACCCTAAACCCTAAACCCTAAACCCTGAACTCTGTCCACGGCGGGCAGCTTTGAAGCAGTCGCTCCGCGGCTTCGTGACCGACTCGATCGAGCGGAGATTGGGCGAAGAATCGCTGTGCGCCTGGGGCGGGTTTAGGGTTTAGGGTTTAGGGTTTAGGGTTTGGGGTTTGGGGTTTGGGGTTTGGGGTTTGGGGTTGGGGTTTGGGGTTTGGGGTTTAGGGGTAGTTTTTTCCAGGCAATATGCTCTAGAATACCACACGGTCCAAGTACCCGACATTTCAAGACTGGTCTGGCTGTAACAAAACTCATATTCCATCAGCAATATGGCTTTTGGAGCCAGAATCTTGATGGGCACTTTCTGGCAGAAGTGAGGATCCCAAACATGGTAGGGGGCGTCAGTCAGATACTGCTTCTACAGGATGGTTTTCAATTTAGGATGCGGTGTACAGAAGGTCTTTGCCCAAAACGCAGTTTAGGGCTTAAGGTTTAGGGTTTAGAGTTTAGGGTTTAGGGTTTAGGGTTTAGGGTTTAGGGTTTAGGGTTTAGGGTTTAGCATTCTGGCCAGGCAGTGGCGTCAACGTAGCCGAGGTGCCACGAAGCTTCGCAAGCAGGGCGCCCCTGACGTCAGACCCCACCAGCGCGTCCTTGCCTCCTCGGCAAGGCCAGGGGCAAGACACAATACTTGAGGATATTTGGTTATTTGGTAAGACATGACAAGTAGGGCTTTCGGAACCAGAACCCTCAAACTTTGGGTGCTTGGGCTACCACCCAATGTACCTCTGTAGAGTATTGTGGTCCTGCAAATGGCTTGAAGGATCTGTGTTGATGTAGTTGCTGGTCTTGGTTTTGGCTTTCCTTGAAACGCCTTTCTCCGCAACCGCCTAGCAATTGGAGGTGGGCTTGAGATGCAAGAGTTTCGACGCTCGCGGGGATGTCAACATGGCAACGACTGAGGCTGGCGCGTTCCTGAAAACACACACTGCGCGTGGGCAGTCAATTTCAGAAGTTCACTGCCCCAGAGCCCCTTGGCATTCCTCAAACCTCGAAGTTCAGGGCTCCCAAAATGTAGGACATGAAGCCGAGTCATGTGACATACTCCATGAGCTCGGCATTGTGTCACGTATTCTATGATTAGCAGACTGGAACTTGGTGGCGAACCATTTAAACAATTAAGGTTAGAATTATGACTTTCTCGCACTATCGGCCGACCGGGCACCACCCAGCACCACGAGTACGGACTGATCCCGCCAGAGGCCTCCCCGGCATGATTACGGCCCTGAAATTTTGGCCAAAGTGTGCTGAGATTTGTACTGAACAAACGTCGTTGAAAAGAGAGGTTCCTACAAGGAGCCTAACATTGATGGCGTAGTTCGCAATACTGTGTGCCATGCGGAGCCGCATGGGCGCGGGTTCCTGAGGCACGCCTATCATTCACCGGTGCCTGGGGAGCAGCTGGTTGAACCCAATGCAACTTCCTGCCCAGTAGAAAAACAAAGCCTCTTGGCAAGGGACTTGCGGGAAAAGGAGTTGCCCCGACAAGAGCATGGTGGCAAATTACACAAGGACCCACACAGACAGAACAAAGATCTAGCACGTGCTCCGATGGCGTCTAGGATCCGAGAATTGAATACAGATAGAAGTAGTCTGGGTTCTGAACAATAGCGCCCCGGAAAAATATCCCGGGGGCCCACTGGCCCGAAAACTGAATTCAAGCACCAGCTGCGGTCGGCGCGGAGCGCGTCCACTTTGTCGCCCACTATATCGGTGTAGTACTCCTGGGGCTTGCTGTTCTACCGCCGTAAGGATCCAAAGCAACAACGCAAGAAGGCTTGATATTGCTTTGCCTCTGCTGTGTGCGTACATGTACGTACTCTTTGCTACAAGTTCTTGTTGCACTTCGACCCGGGCCTAAAGAGGTTTGGCGAGTCTGCTGCACAGTGCTGCTGCAGATTCTGACCGCAAATACCACACTTTTGGCCGGGTCACGAGTCTGTCTCGAGTGTTTTGTTAAGGATAACCGTACCTTTGCCTCGCTCAACCAAGAGTCCAGCAAGCGACCGATGTTGGTTTCGAGGACGCTCACTGCCATCTGCAAAGACTCCAAGATTGCGCGATTGCCGTCTTGCACGGCGGACTTGACACAAAAGATGTCACACCAAATTCGCGCGAATGCGGCGTTGTTCCCTTTGCAGTCAGCCTTCGTCTCGAGCTGTGTCTCATACTCTTGCGACGCCCTGACCGCTTCTAGTGAGGTGTCTGTAACCTCCTTGACTGTCTCAATGATGCCCTTGCAGATCTCTCCAGTGTGCTCTTCAACCCCGACTCCGAAGGGCGAGAGGACGGCGCCCGGCACCGTCGCGCACGCCTGGGCCAGCACGGAGCTGGCGATGTCCCAGCCCGCAAGCTCCTGCTCTTTGATGAAAGCCTCAGCTGCCCAAGCTTCTCTTTTGAACTGCTGGGTTTAGGGTTTAGGGTTTAGGGTTTGGGGTTTAGGGTTTAGGGTTTAGGGTTTAGGGTTTAGGGTTTAGGGTTTAGGGTTTAGGGTTTAGGGTTTAGGGTTTGGGGTTTAGGGTTTAGGGTTTAGGGTTTAGGGTTTAGGGTTTAGGGTTTAGGGTTTAGGGTTTGATCAATTGACGCTGTTGGACCGACGCCATGCACAGCATGCTGAGACGGATCACGGTCGAGTTGACGTGAGAACGTGGTTTGCAGACACTCACGTTGACGTGTCTCGACAACACCCTAAACCCTAAACCCTAAACCCTAAACACCATGGAGGAAAGCTCCCATCATCGTGTGCTCTCCAAGCAGCTGCTGTTGCTTCACCAGACTCTCTGTCCTCTTGCCGCTCCCAACAGTCGAGAATGTGTTCATAGCTATAGCCGGCACCACCTTGGCTGTCACAACACTCCTTCCACTAGGAGGCTGTAGTTCAAGAGCGTTCAATAGCGTTCAGTCACAAAAGTAGCCCACTTTCCGGGCAGACCCCCGCGATTGGACCATGACTTTGGATGATTTTGCCTTAGGGTGTACAGGTATACTTTAGATTACTTTAGATTACTTTAGATTACTTTAGATTACTTTAGATTACTTTAGATTACTTTAGATTACTTTAGATTACTTTAGATTACTTTAGATTACTTTAGTCGACCTGCTTTGTCAAGCACCAGGGCTGCCACGACGCCCTTCCCACCAGAGAGCGGATGAATGGTTGCAAGATCCAGCTGTGTCTTTTCGAACCTCAGTACTTGTTGTAAGATGCTTGTCAGCCGAAAACAGCCTTCTCAAACGCAATGCAAAGGCACGCAACTTCACTTTAAAAAAAAGAGGGCCCACGCCTCCGGAAAAAGAGAAGAGATTCCTAGAATCAGCCTCGGAAAGCCACTGCGCCCGTCCTTTGCCTCCATGGTCGTCGCTGTTGGGAGCTTTGCCTGCGCCGTGCAGGCGAGAGCAAGACGAGCACAAGGTGCTGAAAGTCCCCCGGGCGCCAAACCCTAAACCCTAAACCCTAAACCCTAAACCCTAAACCCTAAACCCTAAACCCTAAACCCTAAACCCTAAACCCTAAACCCTAAACCCTTCCAAACCCTAAACCCTAAACCCTAAAACCCCTCACTGAACATGATCGGGCCGATACATGATGCAAAAGCCTCCACATAACATCGGAAGCTTCGTGGGCCCCTGCTGGATTAACGAGCCCACATAGCTGTCTGCCATAGATTCCTAGCACTAGGTGGCGACCCGACAGACCAGAAAAGGCTGCTGCGTTTAAACTTTCGCCAAGTGCTGAAACACATATGGCCGGCGGGCAGGTCTTTCATCGTAGGGGCATGTGGAAGGATTCATTCTTAGAGGTGTCTACGACATCAGTTTCCAGCGGAGTTCCGTGCTGTTGCAGCTTTGGCTTCGGCCAGTTTAGCACTCTTTGGTGCCCAGGCGAGAGGCCGAGAGCGAGAGGCAGAAGATAGATGGACATAGATGTAGAGATAGCGTGGAGATGGGCAAGCCAAAGATCACCGTGCAAGGGTTCTGAGGTGGAAAGGCCTGCCTCAAGCTGCTCTTGAATCTCTGAGAATCAGTACAAGTAAGCAACGTCTCACTGAGAACATGCAGGGATCCACCAAGAAACGAGGCAACCCATTGCAGAGCAGACCCTGAAACCGAACGAGAACTTCGCTCTGACGGGCCTGTCACGTAGGAGCATGGATTCTCTGGCCCCAGCGTCTTCCCGACGCTTTCCCAGTCGGGTACCTGCTGCTGCTCTGGGTCACAGACTGCCGAGGGTACAGCTTCCCTCACAGGAATGCCGGTCTGGATCGTCTGAGCCGAGATTTTACAATTTACAGTACTCATGAGTACTCGTGCATCAAGTTAAAAGCTGAAGCCCTGCGCCATAATCCCTGATCCGCCTCCTCCTTGCATTCTTCTTTCGTCGCAAGCTTGACGGCGTGGAACTGTATCAGCTGGGGCTTATGCCGCTTTCCTGCCTTTCCTGCGAAGACAAGACCATGCTCATTCTTGGAGGGCCAGGTGCATCGCTCTTCCAAATACCGCTACCTGCAGATGAACCATCGGATCTTGACGGCCTTCTCATGTTCTAGGGCTTGGGGGCTTTGTATGTTGTCCAGACTTTCAAACATTTACAACAGCACAACGTGAATCGTGCTGGCTGGGTCTGTGTCTACCTTTTGGCGAGGCTCCTGGGCCAGAGGATGTGGCAGCAGCAAAGTTGGCGTCGAAGTCCGTGACTTTGGCCACTTCCCACACCTCGTTTTTGAGCTCGCCGTTAGCCAAGGCCGGGTCCACAGCGCTGCTCCAAACGCAGCTGACAGTCTCTCGGGTGTAGCTGGACCCTAAGCACCAGGAGTCGGGCAGCTCAAAGAAGAACTTGTGCGCCTCTGGAGTGGACCCGCTCTCCTTGAAGAAGCTGCGCTGTCGGTATTGGAGCCTGCCGCTCGCGTCCCGTCGCTCTGGGCAGTACACGCCCTCCCAGCTCTGCAGGCGCTGCGTCTGGAAGTCGGCGATCGACCGCGGCATGCCCACAACCTGCCATCAAGGAGATGTCTCACAGATCACAGCACAAGCACGCGCGCGCGCATACACACACACACACACACACACACACACACACACACACACACACACACACACACACACACACACACACACACACACACACACACACACACACACACACACACACACACACACACACACACACACACACACACACACACACACACACACACACACACACACACACACACACACACACACACACACACACACACACACACCACACACCCACCACACACACACACACACACACACCACACACACACACACACACACACACACACACACACACACACACACACACACACACACACACACACACACACACACACACACACACACACACACACACACACACACACACACACACACACACACACACACACACACACACACACACACACACACACACACAACACACACACACACACACACACACACACACACACACCACACACACACACACACACACACACACACACACACACACACACACACACACACACACACACACACACACACACACACACACACACAACCACACACACACACACACACACACACACACACACACACACACACACACACACACACACACACACACACACACACACACACACACACACACACACACACACACACACACACACACACACACACACACACACACACACACACACGCACACACCACAGAGCAAAGCTGAGGGCTGGGCCATAGCGGCCACGTAGCAGCACCTTGCACCCCGAACTCCCCAAATGGCACCAGGTTGCTGTTAAGGAAGCTAACATCCGTTTCCATAATGAGGAAGCCATCTTACCAGATTAAGACAACTCTTCAAGTATCTTCCTTATAAGCAAAATTCCCAGCAAATGGGCACAGCGAGGCAGTGAAGGCGCTGTCAAAGCCAAAAAGCTGAGCTTACGGCTGTGCCGTGATGCTCCAGCCGTGATCGCCTCAGTTCACTTGCCCACTGCGACGGTTGTACCAGCTGGGACTTGAGCGTCGGGCCTTTCTTGAAGATGACGGACTGCAGCGCCGTGTCTTGTGGGCACGTGGCCTGCATGAAGTCGGAGCTTGCAGAGACGCTCTGGCAGCTTCCCATTGTCGTAGCCCGGACGCACGTGTAGTCGATGGACACCGGGTCTCCCTCTCCAGTCGGCGGCTTATGGAAGCTGCTGAGGAGCATGCCGACGGGGCAGGTGAGGCCGAAGTCGTCCGTGCTCGCACGGCGCTGCGACATCGTGCCAACAGGATGGCCCCTGCAAGGATCCACGATCTGCGTCGGCTTGGAGAGACCCTTCGAGGCCAAGCAGTAAAAGGCAGAGCCGTCGAAGCCAATCAGCTGTATCCCGAAGAAAGAGAAGCTTGCTGGTTGTTGGCAGTAGTTCCTGTTCAAGACAAGGCGGTCCTGGACTACGTGGAGATACGTTTCCAAGGCTGCATTTTGGAGGCAACGAGGATACTCCCAATGAGCATCAATAAACCTCCAGAAACTGGTGGAGTCCATGCAGCTTCCCATGGCAACAGTTTGGCTCTGGTACACTATGAGGCAGGATCCGTTGCCTGCCACAAACTGCAGGGCGCTTGTGGTGGTAAGGCCCGGTCGCGTGCCCTCGCGCGCAATCGGAGTGGTGCTGCAGGGCGCTTGCTTCACGCCGAAGTTGATCCCAGTGAGGGCTCCCCCCGGGCAGCTTGCACCCACCTCGGCCGTTGGCCAGTGGCTGCACGGGATGGCCTCGGGCGCCCCCGCTCTTGCTTGCAGCTGGGCCTGAAAGAAGTCTCGGAGCACCGCCACGCTCAAGCCCTGCTGAGGAGACATTGGCTCCTCGCAATCTTCGGGCTTCAGCTGCTGGTCTGACAGATCCAAGCACTGGCCTTCTGAGACTGAGCGCAGAGCGAAGGTGCTGTAGTCCGTGCCGTTCCGGGTCTTCGTAGTGAAAGAAGCCGCGCGTGCCACCTTCACCGGCACGTAGCACCTCTCCCTCTTGGCCTTGAGCTGCAGCAAGCTTGTCTCAGCAACAGCAAGCTGCAACTCCGAGTCTGCACATGGCGCAGTGTAGTCCCGGTGACATATGCCTCGAGGACAGGCACCGAAGAACTCGCCGAGCTTGTACAACTCCAAAGGTGCTCCCGGCTGGTTGCCGAGATCGAAGAGGCACCGGTCGCCAGAGGCTGTGCAGAGAAACCACTGGCCTTGTGGAGGCTCACACGTCCTGTTCCCGACTTCCACGGACGTGCGTTCGACAAGGGCTAGGCAAGCTTCGTCACCGGAGCTTCTCGTGTACCTCAGGCAGGTCTGCATCTGCGCGATTGCCATCAATTCTGCGCTCGAGTTCACAAACATGGGCTCCTGGCCATCGACCAGAATGCCGGTAACGACGCTCGGGGTGAAGTAGAGCTCCTGATGCTGCTGCACATAGTACGTGTCGTAGCGGGGCTGGACAAGCTGCACGCAGGCTCCGCAGGAGAACTCGGAGAGCAAGCGGCCCGCTGGGCCGGACCAGCTGCCGCCGGCGCAAGTCACCGTGTAGCTGTCCGCAGCCAGGCCGGGGGTCTCAGCCAATGTCACGGGAGCGTAGCGCTCCTCCCAGCAGCTGATCCGCAGCTGTTGGCCGGAAGGGAAGCTGGAGGGAAGATGGCGCTTGTGCTGCCAATCCCGATCATCCAGGAACGCGTAGTCGCATTGGTAGCATGCCTGGACAGCAGTCATGCCCAGCATCAGGTGCCAGTCGCACTGTCGCGCGAGCGCTTCAAACGGGCAGCCACCACCAGGGAGGTGTCCACCAGTGCCTGCTCCGAGGAACATACGACGCAGGCGGATGGCGAAGCACTGCTGAGGGTCTGCGCGGTGGCACACATTCGACGACTGGTTGCTGAACGCGGCCAGGAGGCTCCCCTGAGCATTTTCGGGCTGAACCAGTGCCTCACAAGCGCTGTACATCCGGCATTGCTTCCCACCGTGGACGCTACCTGCCCAAAAGAAGAGGCAGCCGTGCTGCGTGCTGCAGGCAACCTGACAGGCAGTCACGTCGTTCGAACCGTACTTGATTGTGAGGAGGCTCTCCTGCTGACACATGGCGCTACCCTGCAAAATCTGGACGGACTGCGGCCGGAAGAGGTTCTGGCTTCCCGGAGGTACCTGCTTGAAACTCGCGGAGACCACTGGTGGGACGGATCCCCAGTTCTCGGGGAAGCACTCACAGGGATGGAGGCTGAAGTCATCACGGATGGAGGTGCTCGGGTCGTCTACAAAGATTGCCTCTTGTGAGCTGGCCACCGTCACGGACGTGCCATCAACTGTCAGGTTCAGCCCGTTCAGACTGCAGCTGGGGCTCTCCAAGGACAAGACGAGGCTGCTATCATCAGATGCTTGTACTTCTTGCGAGCCGGCATCGAAGACCGCGGAAAGAAGCCCTTTGGAGACCTTTGCTTCGGAGGAGAGGCAGGTGACGGGCTCCCCGTGAAGCTCCACAATGTGGGAGGTGACATTCACGAAATCCCACGTTGCGTTCGGCCGCCTGAGCAGCAAAGATCCCAGCGGGCAGGAGTCTCCGTCTCCCGGCTGCAGGTAGAAGGAACCCTCGGACGTGAGTCCCACCTTGTCGTAAGCGTACCCAAGCAGTTGCCCGGTCTGTGGATTGACGGTGGAGCCAAGCGGGCAGTACAGCCCCGGGTACAGAGTCGGGCTGGGGTCAAACAACTCGAGGCACGTGGTGGTCTTGCTGCAATTCGTGATCTTCTCGAAAACCGCGGGTATGTGCTGGCAGTTAGGGCCAGCCGGCGTGTTGCATGGCGCCACAAACTCACATGTAGAGCCGCTGAAGTGGTACAGCCCACAATCACTCGCACTGCGGCAAGAAGCTCGACACTTGCCTGCCGTGTTGCCAGGGACAGTTTGCAGTGGTTGATACCATGCAAGGCCATTCTGTGGCGTCTCCTTCCAGCACGTATCGTCTTCAATGTGAATGGATAGGTTGCCGTAGACAGGGGTGATGGCTTGACCTGCCTGCCACTCATAGAAGCCAAAAAACGTGCAAGAGATGTCGATGCTCGCCCGCGTGCCAGCTTCCTGAAGACGGTCGAAAAGATCTGTCAGGTTGCTCGAGGGCGCCACCGTGAGGGTGCCTTTGGAGGTTTGCAGAGCGAAGAGGCTGTATCCATTCAACGTGGCATGCCCGGTGCGAACGTCGAACGACACACGCAGCGAGGCTCCTCAGGATCGCTAGTCCAACGCTCAGCCCCGCACATCTCCAACTTTTGAAAACGCCAGAGATAAGTTCACAAGTGCACGGGATGGGTGCCAAGGCACCAGCACCGCAGCTCGCAGAGAAGCGCGAGGGCCCCACTTGGCCTGAGCAGGATCTTCTTCTTGAGTACAAAAAGAGACGGGCACAATAAGGGCATAGGGGCACGATAGGGGCTCCGACCTCAAAAAAAGAACTAATAATTAACAAAAACAAAAAAAGGGACAGTCGTGAGTGGGGAGGACAAGAAGCCCTTTAAAAAAAGGTGCCCTCACATTGCCCCCAGCAGGCCTCCGGGGCCTGCAGCGTCTTGGGCCTGGAGGCTGGGAATCGTCCGGCCCACGGCCACAGACCTCAAGAGGGGACCATCATTGAGGGCTCTTTTTTGGGGGGCCTGCAGCTCTTTTGGGGGGATCACACTGAGCAGGAACGTGAGAGAGTGCTCATTCACTGTATAGAGTCATAGTTTCGGTTTGCCACGTGCTCTCTGCAAGCATGAAGGAAATGGCTCAGTTGCTGCATGTGAGTCGATCAGCGTAGTCTGAGAGGGTTCCATGCGCTTTCCAAGTGTGCATGATTGTGCCTGTTGAAATTGCTCTCATGGTCCATGCCTTTGTTCTCCCCCTGAAGCTGGCTGACGATCCGGGACGAGTGGCACGGCGGAAACGCCAAAGGAGATTGCTGTCCAAAGCTGCGGCGCCAGCACTAAGACCTGCAAAATCAGAGTAGGCTTGCTAGGCTAGCCTAAACCCTAAACCCTAAACCCTAAACCCTAAAAGCTAAACCCTAAAAGCTAAACCCTAAACCCTAAACCCTAAACCCTAAACCCTAAACCCTAAACCCTAAACCCTAAACCCTAAACCCTAAACCCTAAACCCTAAACCCTAAACCCTAAACCGAACGATGCACCTCTAAACGTGGGGAAGGGGGATCTTGCCGCTTCAAGGCTATGCTTGGAGGCTGACTCGGAAAGCCTGCCCTTTTTACTGGGCTGATTGCAATGTTGTAAGGAAAGCGTGCTGCTCCACTATGCTGTTAGGATTCTGTGCGCCATGTTCGCATACTCGACCAAACTGCCTCGCTGCTGGATGTCCCAGCTGCGAACAAATTGGGGGTGTTTTCAGCGCAGTCGTGGGAAAATGTTCTGCAGGACCTGGATAGCTGGGAAGTATTCCACAGTAGCGAGACCGCCGGTGTAAGCACATGCCCAACAAAAGCAAAGGCGTGACGCTCAACCGCCAGCTAAGCGAGCGCATGAGCATCAGCTGAAATCAGGCTGGCAGGCGGAGTGGCGGCCGGAGGGGGAGGGCCGTCTCTAGACTCTAGATTTTCATGGAGTGCTCGTGGAGTGGAACCGGATGAGCACTTCTTAGATCACTTCTGCTCACGTCAACTCCTTGCAGAAATCAAGTCTAGCAGCCCAGTATGGTAGGAATCCCACACCTGCCCTATAATTCTTTGAGAGAGCTTTTGACTATGGCCCATGTGGCTGGGCCTTGGTTCAGAAGGACTCGAAGCCTCGCATTTGGGCCAACTGCAACACTACCATGGGCCCAGCCTGTGTCGTCACCGCCTCATGTTGGTGCTCCCCGGAGACCTGTTGCGACACAGAGCTGGGAATTCCAGCTTCTCAAGGCAGCTCTGCTCTAAACGAATCCAGGAGCCTCTTTCAAGAGGCTCCCCAAGCAAACCTGGACGTGCCTTGCAAAGGCCACCGGGGGCGGCAGGGAGGCCCGGCAGCGTCAGCGCCGTGACGCCGGCGCCCTGCAGCGCCTGGGACGCGCCGGCCTTGACTCGCAGCTCGAAGCTCTCGGCGATGTCCTGCGAGGGGGGGGGGGAGAAAATCTGAAGTTGGAACCATTGCCTGGGATTCATATCAGCACGAGCAGCGGTCCAGGACTTTCCCCAAGGTATCTGGGACGCACTGCACCCGGGGCGAGGAAAGCCTCAGGGAAGCAGCGCGGAAGCCGTTGCTCCGAAGCAACAACTCCCCCGAAAAGGGGAGTGTGGCCTTGTCGAGTTCTGCGCTGCAAAGTCTCGACCCATGGGCGGCACCACCAGCACGGAGCTCTTGTAAGCCAACAGAGAGCCTCGCACTCGAGAAGCAGAGGACCCCAGAAAAGATCAAAGGAGCCCCCAAGATTCCGAACTTCCAAGACGGGCCCCGCGCCTGTGACCGACAACGTGGCAGAGGCGTTGAATTCGCCCTCAGCTATTTCTGACCACCACAGCAGGGATGGAAGAGGTCCCAAGAGGCACCTGCACTCTCCCCGCCTCGTGGGCGGTGATGGTGCACTTTACGGCAAAGTTCCTGGATGCACAGCCACAGAGCTGCGAGGAATGACATCAAGAGCTGCAAAAAGCCAATAAGCGGTTTCTGGAGAGAACACGATGAAATGTGGAACGAGTCGCTGCTGGAGAGCGTGCCCGCACCCGACTGTTCGGCATCCATCGACCTCTGCGACTCTACGAGGGCAAAAAGAAGGCACGTGCAGCACATTTCTAGAGGGCCAGTGTAAGGGTTCTTTAAGTCTTTGACTGAGGCCAAGACCAACTTAAGGGCGCCGGTGAGGCCGTCGATGGTGAGGTTGTACTTCAGAAGTTGGCATTTGTCGTCGACTGAGTAGCTCGATCCCGCGCGCGGCAGGGGATAGCCCTTCACAGTGCCTGCATCGGTTTTCAAGAGCACTGCTTCAATCCAAAGGGCACCTGAACCGGAGCAAAACGCAACTTGGCAACGGCGCCTGAGCCCGAGAGGAGCGGCTCAGTGTAGTACCTGAAAGGCGTCGCAGACGTCAGCCCGCCGCCGCACTTGCAGCACGCCATCTTGCTGGAAACGCCGTGGAAGCCTCGGCATCATGAAACGCGTGATATCTGCGCTGTCGCTGGAGACCCTTTTCGACGTTGCCCGAATCGGTACAATTTCAATTTCGGGTACCCTTTAAGGGATCCCAATTATACAATCGACTAGAGTCCTTAAGGCCATTGATAAAGGTACACTGGGACGGTGTAGGAACCACTGAGGCCCTGGCGGGTGTCGGAGCACTGGGACGCTTCCAAAGCCTTGGCTCTTCTTTATAAGGAGTGCTCCTCAAGCACATAGGGATTCCCATTGTGGTTTCTGCGGTTTGGGGTATGTTCTTTGACTAAGGCCCTTTGGAAGCTTTCTGGGAAGCTTTCTGGGTTCTTCAAACAAGCAAACATGACTGCCAGGACGAGCTTCATTCTGGTCATGTTTCTCTGCAACGCAAGGGGAAAGCAAATGAGACACCATGCCTCCATCTAAGTCACTTTACATGACAGGCCCTTAACAACTGGAGGTCTGTTCGTGGCAAGGCACAGAGCCAAGGACCAGAACAAAGCAGACATGTTGAGGTTTCTCCCAAACTTCCCAAACCAAACCGCAGAAACACAAGCGTACATCCAGCAAAGCTTGCCTGCGAGTTAGCGAGCTGGTGTGGCGAGGTGATGCGGAAAGCATTGCAGCGATGATGATGACGGCAACCACAGAGCCGGAATGACATTGACAATGACACCCTGAACCCTAAACCCTAAACCCTAAACCCTAAACCCTAAACCCTAAACCCTAAACCCAACAAACTCCAGCAAAAACACGTCCTTAAGGGCAGCCCGGGAGCGAAGCAGTTCTGGCCTTCGGGGTTCGACCAGGCCGGTAGGTCCATGCAGGGCTTGCAGATCCCCTCCTTCATGACGTAGCCCCCCAAACAGGCGGCGCACGTTCCTCCCGCGCCCAGCACAAGTCTCCAGGTCATTTTGATTCCCACAAACATATGTCTAAACGCGTTGATCTGCATGATGTGGCTGTGAAGAATTTGCACAGGATCATATCCCTGTGAAGATTTCCCTAAGCCGCAAGCGGTGAGCTCATGAGACGCCCTCGCAAACACTTCTTCTGGGATTCTTGCTTTGTTTCCAGGTTCATTGTGCCACGCAGGTATTGTTGTAGGGCAGCTGGCAGCTGGAAAGGCGGGCGAATGTCGTAGCTGCCGTCTGCACCTGGCTCCTCTAGCTCGGCACCCAGGTGCCGTTGATCTGTTGGATCTTACCTCTTTCTTATTTCCAAAACCAGTTGCACGCTGTTTTTTTTTTGTCTGTCGCTGTCGCTCTCTAACACATTATCCTGCTGTTGACTCCCCCGTAGTCTCACAAGGCTTGGTGAAGCACGCCAAGCCCTCAACCCACAGGCCGGTGTTTCTTCACCCAGGCCGCTGTTTTTCGCCCCTTGGGGCTGCCACCCCCCCCCCCGAAGGTGGGCCTGAAGGCCACCTACCGTAGTTGCGGTCGCATAGGCGCACGCGCTGTAATGGGAGCTGTAACTTGCCGGCCTGCGGTATAGTTTTAAACAAGACTTCCCCCAAAACACATGAGACTTGAAAACCCGGATAAACCTGACAAAGCACTAATTTGACAGGCAGTGCAGTTGTCCTTCTCCGTAGGGAATGGCAATGGCGCAGCCTGCGCACCAAGTCGCAGCAGCGGGGCAGCAAAAAGCCTCCGATTCCAAGCGCTCTTGGGCCAGGAGAGAAGCTTTTAAAAAAATTAGCTAAATTTTGTTCAAATTTGATGAAAAACAATAAAATATCATATTTATAATGTTTTACAATGTTTTTCCTGACTTCCTGTTTCCCTCTGCCACACTTACGGACGTTCCTGATTCTAGGCACCCCGAAGATGAAGGCCGCAAGAAAGCTAGGACAGGTAAGTGTAAGACCTCCCGTGGCAGATGCGCGTCAGCATCTCTAGAGAGGTCCCTGAACCGTTTTGGGTCCCTCTTTGGTGCGCTGTTGCTCTTCACAAAGGGGCCTTGCCATTGACATTGTCCGGCCACAGAGGCACGCCTTCTCCGTCGGAGCAGAACCTCGGCCCCTCTTCGAGCAGCAAGGGGCCGCCTTCCACAGGAGAGGTTGCTGCTGGCATGTTCCGGAAAGGGTTTGCCGTCCTCTTCTCTCTCAAGTTTATATGCAACAAATCTTGTTCCTGCTGCTACTGAATTAAACTACCGCGCACAGTTCGTTCAGCAGGAGCCCTGCTGCAGTGATCAGGGTGGAGAAGAAGAACCGATCTTCGTCGTAAAGTGAATGGGAAGGGGCGTGGCCGCAGCAGTGCAAGAAGAAGTAGCAGCAGGACTTGCAGCAGCAATGCCAGTGGTGGTCACAAGAAGTAGTAGTAGTAGTAGTAGTAGTAGTAGTAGTAGTAGTAGTAGTAGTAGTAGTAGTAGTAGTAGTAGTAGTAGTAGTAGTAGTAGTAGTAGTAGTAGTAGTAGTAGTAGTAGTAGTAGTAGTAGTCGTAACAGCACTTTACAAATGCTTGTCCTTGTCTGCGAGTACAGCAGGCTTTACATTCTCTTGGGCCTTGCATAGGGTTTTCAGTGACTACAAAGGCCAGAGCCACGCGCCTTCTGGCCCAAGGTTGTGACTGGCATGGTTTCGCTGGAATGGCGCGCCGTCACACTGTTCGAAATAGCTCGGCGTTGCCACGGCGCTGAAGGAACACAGCCATAGCAACGGAAGAACCAGCGCGGCGAAGCCCATGGCGAGGCTCGGCAACTTCCGAACGACTGTCCCTAGCTGTTTTCGAAGCGTGCGCACTTTTCAGCCAAAAGAGCTGCGGCAGGACCTCATGCATGCAAGCTGCTGACCTCGGGCAAACTGCAACGCATCTGCGCAAGCCTCAGTTCGCCCAAAGCAATCGCCTCTTGTGCCACTGCTCCGTACCCATGTGGCAAAGTCTTCACAAGGACAAGAGCAAGCTGCCTTCAGCTAGTACTGTGAGACGTCTGAGCACTTTCCGAGGTCCTTGCAACGCTTCCGCGATCTTGCCTAAACCCATGAGCCTCTCTGACAGTCGGGGCGAGCGCACCACATGAAGAAGCGAGAGCAGGCATCTTATCGGGCCTTCCCCGTCTCTCCTACAGTCTGAATGCTGGCCTCTGTAGTTGATACCTCATGGCCGGCGAAGCTGCAGCAAAGCTTGATGTAAGAATGGAGTTTTCTGAGATCACTGATTTCCTGTACTTCCAATGTGGGCGGGTCGGTGGAATGCGGACAGACCCGTGGTGCAGAAGCATCCGTTTTTTCCTTGCAGGCGTCGCGCCTCATGTCCCGGGCCGCTGGTCCTGCTGATGCAGCAGAGTCTGAGTCTTGAAAGGCCGGGGTATGGTTATGCGTAGAGTTAATAAGTAGTTGCCATACTCATAACTATACTTATAACTACACTTGTAACTATAACTTGTAACTATACTTATAACTATACTTATCACTATACTTATAACTATACTTGTCACCATATGCTGGAGCTCCACATGTGTCGGCAGGGACATTGGGGGGTCAGTGACCGTAATCTTCCGGCTGCACTCTTTCTCCATCGGGCCTTAACTCAGGAATATCCCTTAGATTATAATAGGAACCATAATACGATTTAAGGTATAATCCTTTGTTAAGGGGTTTTGGAGTCTCTGGGGAGACACCAGCCCAGTTACCAATAATACAGCTCACCGGGCTCACGGTTCCTGAATTTCCTCTATGGCTGATAAGGCTAACACGAAAGGCTCTAGAAGATCTATATCTGTATCATATGCATTCATAGGAGAACCTTATAAGGTTCTGAGCCCGGCTCAGGATCGGGCCTTATGGTTTTGGGAGGGTAGGTAGAGACTTGTTTTGCGCAGCCAACCCGGTTGCAGCGATGTTGAGGTGCCCCTGTTCATGCAGCACTTTTTGAGCGCCCCCCCCCCCTCCCCCCGCCCCGAGACTCCAAAACCCGTTGATTAAGGAATATCCGGGTTTAGGGTTTAGGGCTTAGAGTTTAGAGTTTAGGGTTTAGGGTTTAGGGTTTAAACTATAATAGGAACACCCCCTGGCCAGGTCTGGAACCTCAGAGATAACTTTACTCCTGAGTGTGAAGGCATAGACTGGATGCTGGCCCCCCGCCTTGTGACAGTCGGATACTCAGAACCTAGAAATGTAGAGTCTCTTGCTATGTTAGCCCTATGAATTCATACTTAGGGTTTAGGGTTTAGGCAACCTTATAAGGTTCTGCAGTCTTCAAACCTGAGGAAGCAGGACATAGGTTCCTCCTCAAGCACAACCGACGCTTTCGGAAACATCGGTGTCCCAGTCCTCGTTAAGGGATTATTGCTGAAGTAAGGGGTTTGGGAGTCTCTGGGTACCCCACTCGGTGCCAAACCATGTCATCCCAAACTCTTGGAACATTTGCCTACTCATGTGCCCCTGGCCTTGCCCAGGCAGAGCGCATTCAGCGCGAAAAGCTGGTACCACCTCACCTGAGCTACACTTGCGAGTTAGGCCCGACATGACTAAAAGCTCCGGCGCTGGCCTTTCCAGCTCTGCGCAATCAATCAAGGTTGCTGGAATCACGCTGACGCCACACGAAGCCTTTGCTGAAAAACCTACAGCGCCTGACTGTTGCCCCTGTTTTCTACATGTGGCTTCTCTCATTTGGCAACAGATGTTTTAGGATGAAACGAGCTAAAGCAACGCAGCCTCGTGTTGCGATAGCTTCCTGACGTCACAACCAGGCGCGCATTACAGAAACGAGGTGCCATTTTAGCTGCGACACTCTTTGAGTTTCTTATATGCTACATGGGAGTGTGCTGCAGAAACGACCCGCAATTTTCGTGCGACACCTTGGTGATTTTTACAATCATACAAACTCGCGTGTGTTGCAGAAACGAACCGCCATTGTGTTTCGCAGCTTCTTTGTTGTTTACAATACAAATGGGCGCGCGTCACAGAAACGAATCGCCATTTTGTTTGTGTTGTTTACAATGTATGTAGGCGCGTGTT